GCAATCACCTTTCTCCGTGTGCTGCTAACGTGATCATTTATCTTCATTAGTTTCAACATGGTTTCACCTGATCCGCTTGAAGGACCAACCTCGGCTGAGGCAGCACTGGGCTACACTCCGCTTAATTAGCCTTGATCCTGCTGGCAAATAGCCTTGTCAAGACTTTGGCTTCTTTGGTTTCCTCTTGGCGAGACTTTCGGGCTCAATGCTTCGTGTGTACTCACCTGTTTATGTTAGCAGGGGGTTGACTTCCAGCTTCTAAGCCCTGCCTTTTATTTTTCATTTGGCTGAAATGGTTGTTCTCTAACCTTTTCTGTTCTGCGTCCCCGTCTTGTGAAACTGTTCTTTCAGTCTGACTTCGAAACCTGACTCCTTGTCATCCTCTATTTCATTAGTTTCATATTGAAAAAGTTCTTTGTAATGACCCTATTATCTATTTGTATATTAATTTTCTCTGCTTCTAGTCAATACCATATTCTGAATAAGTCTGTTAATAGTGTTTATACCGTTCAGTATTTTTCACTTCCTGACAATATCTCGTCTGATTCTCATCTCATCAGTAATGTGAGATTTAGATTCCTTAGTGTTTCCTCGTAGCTTATGACTCTGAGTTCTGCCACTCGACTGAAAACCTCTGTACCGTTTTCATATAAGACCACTTGAGGGCTTCATGCTGACACTGAATACTCGAACATCAGTCTTACACTGCGTAGAGCGTCCTGAATGATTCTTTTATAAAAAATGTGACCTATGTACACAGAATTATTGGAGTCGTTAAAGTGCTGATTGTCCGCACTTCTCCCGGGATGGACCTTCCTGTTGAGGTTAAAGTTCACCTGAAAAAGATTCGAGGGTTTAACACTCGAAGTGATTTTTAAGGATAAATCTGAAGTACCCGTGTTTGTAATCTGGCTACAGAGTTCACCGTGAAGGCTGAAACACAAGCTTCCGAATCCAAAGGTACTGAAATTTCAGAATCGTGGGGAAATTATGTAATATCTGAAATTAGAGACGCATTAGAAGACATCTTTATCAGATCTGGAGACAACACCTGAATTATGTACATTAGGCGTAACAGCCTTATCGTTTCGTAATTCTAAATCTGGAACCATCATGATTCTAGAATCAGACTTATCTGAAAACTAATTATTATTGGAAGCAATCAGATGTGCATTTCAAGTGTCGTTCATGGTAGGATACTTCACACTTTTGATACTGTTCTCTAACACAGAGCAGGTGGTACATTGGCTCATATATAATCTTGTTCTGTGTTAGAGGACAGCATTAAAAGTGTGTAGTATCTTACCATAAACGACAATTCAAATGGCCCTTTGACTGTTAGTGTAGAATGTCAATATTAAGAAATAGTTTATCCGAGAGAACCACATCCTGTATCTCACAGAATAGTAGACACCCACATAGCATTAAAAGAGCCATCATTAAAAAAAGCTTCCGTATTAATATTAGGAAAACATTTGCCTACATTATAAACTGTTCTATTTGGAAAGTTAGGCCGTTTGTGACGCAAATGAAACAGTGGTACACGCTGAAGCTTCCTGTAAATGAGGTTACTACACTCTTTCTTTAGATTTAGGTGACTTAGATTTATTTACTTTTACTAGAATCCTGGGGATAGCCAGGATGGGCTGAGGTAGTATGTAAATCAGTCGCCTGGGCCACCTCTGCAGGTGTAGTTAGGTTACCTTCTTTAATGAGGACACGCATGCCATTAGTAAGTGATGTGATGAAATGGTCTCCTTACATGAAATCACATAAAGAATCATAATTTATTGCAATGTCCGATCTACCAATCCAGTGATCGAATATTCTGAAAAACTTATTAAGAAACTGGGTATAATTCTCTTTTAATGAAATTCTGCTTTGCCTAAATTTCTATAATGACAGAATTTTTTAATGCATTTAGAATAGCCTTTAAAAATTTTCTTAAACTGCAACAGCTTCTGCGCATTAAGTTGGATAAATCTTTATGGGCGAACCCGAACGTAGTAAGGTAGGAGAGTGAACCAGGAATCTGTAAGGCACTCACAGTAGATGTAGTCTCGACTCGCATGATATACATTATAATATCATCATTAGTGCATGGGAGGATTTGAGGAAAATGAATATTAAAGACCAGGTAATGGATTATCAATAATTCCTTCATTTACTTTCTCGTTAGTCAAGTCTTACTTATTAGCTTCCAACTTTAACTTGCTAGCTTCCAACCCTAATTTGCTAGCTTCCAACTCTTAACATGCTAGCATCCAACTTTACCTTGCTAGCATCTAACTTTAACTTGCTAGCTTCCAACTTTAATCTGCTAGCTTCCAACTTTAATCTGCTAGCTTCCAACTTTAATCTGCTAGCGTCCAACTCTAACTTGCTAGTTTCCATCTTTAACTTGCTAGCTTCCAACTCTTAACTTGCTAGCATACAACTCTAACCTCTGTGGTTCATGTTTCCTTTACACAACTAAATCCTCTAATGTTCACCTGAACCAAGTGCCCCTCGATCAGCAGCTCTTTCATCACCAGCCAGTTTCTCCCTTTCTCTTTTTTCTCCCAGAACCAGTTTCTCCTTTTCACGCTCTAATCTTTTCTCTTCTCTTCACGCTCTGAACTTTTTTCCCTTTCTTCTCCTAAAGTTCTAACTTAATAGCTATAAAGTTAGTTAAGCTCTTACCCCGCAGTCGTCCATAATGACCAGGAAAGAGAATAAACAAATAAGAAAAGAAATCAACCAGTAGTTTTAACTTTGTTCGCCTCCGCCGATAAAAATTAGATTGAAAAAGAAAAGCCCACAAAGAGTATTCTAATTAGGCTAGATAAATTGAAAAAAAAAAACTAGGTAGTAGGTTGGTAGACAGCAAATGCCAAGGAAGGTACTACCGTCCTGCCAAGTGAGTGTGAAACGGAAACCTGTAATTGTTTACATGATGGTAGGATTGCTGTGTCTTTTTTCTGTCTCATAAACACTCGGGAGAAAGGTATATTTTGCTACTCCTACTTACACATAGGTCACACTACACATGCACATACATACATACACACACACACACACACATATATATATATATATATATATATATATATATATATATATATATATATATATAATATATATATATATATATATTGTTTTGTGTGTGTGTGTGTGTGTGTGTGTGTGTGTGTGTGTGTGTGTGTGTCGTGCCGAATAGGCAGAACTTGCGATCTTGGCTTAAATAGCAACGCTCATCTTGCCATATAGGACAAGTGAAAATTTGTGTATGCAATAATTTCTTCAAAATCATTCTGAACCTAACGAAAAAAATATATTTCACTGTGTTTGTTTAGTATTAAATTACTGTAAACAAATCTAAAATATATTTACTTGGGTTAGGCTAAAATAAATTGTTCTTGTTATAATAAGGTTAGGTAAGTTTTCTAAGATTCTTTTGGTGCAAAATTAAATTTTTTTTATATTAACGTTATGAAAAAAATATATCTTTATACGTATAAAAGAAAATTTCAGAAAGGACTTAATTTTGAATGAGTTCTTGCTAATTGACCAGTTTTACATATTCGGCACGACATATATATATATATATATATATATATATATATATATATATATATATATATATATATATGGTAGACAGCAACCGCCCAGGGAGGTACTACCGTCCTGCCAAGTGAATGTAAAACTGAAGCCTGTAACTGTTTTACACGATGGTAGGATTGCTGGTGTCTTTTTTTTCTGTCTCATACACATGCAAGATTTCAGGTATGTCTTGCTACTTCTACTTACACTTAGGTCACACTGCACATACATGTACAAGCATATATATACACACCCCTTTGGGTTTTCTTTTATTTTCTTTCTAGTTCTTGTTCTTGTTTATTTCCTCTTACCTCCATGGGGAAGTGGAACAGAATTCTTCCTCCGTAAGCCATGCGTGTTGTAAGAGGCGACTAAAATGCCGGGAGCAAGGGGCTAGTAACCTCTTCTCCTGTATATATTACTAAATGCAAAAGGAGAAACTTTCATTTTTCCTTTTGGGCCACCCCGCCTCGGTGGGATACAGCCGGTGTGTTGAAAGAAAGATATATATATATATATATATATATATATATATATATATATATATATATATATATATATATATATATATATATATATATATATATATATATATATTATATATATATATATATATATATATATATATATATATATATATATATATATATATATATATATATATATATATAAATAAATACACTCATCTGCGTTTTCTTCTGTTTTCTTATAATTCTTGTTCTTCTTTATTTCCCATTATCTTCATGGGGAAGTGGAAAACAATTCTTCCTCCGTAAGCCATGCGTATCGTAAGAGGCGACTAAAAAGCTGGGACCAAGGGGTTAGTAACACCTTCTCCCGTATAAATTACTAAATTTAAAAAGAGGAACTTTTGTTTTTCTTTTTTTTCGGTCACCCTGCTTCGGTGGGGTTGAAAAAAAAATTAAAAAAAAAATCAGGAAACAAGATTATACATCAATACACTTAGGAGGGGAACCTCGCACACACCTATGATCACAAATTATAATGTGAGGGATTCCTGTCCGCACACCTAGGAGGAGCTTCTGTCCATACCTTAAACATACACTAACAAGGGAGGGACTCCAAGGTCGCACAATTATAGGAGAAAAACTTTCCTCACACCTACAGGTATAGGAGGGGAACTTTTGGCACATCTATAACTTTTCCAAAGGACAGACAGCCGGCTCCTCACCATAAGTGTCTAAACAGCACCAATGAGAGACACTAAAGCGTTAAATACTCACCGTCAACTGGATACTCTGCCAAAGTTCAATATGACTGATTTACGCTGGAGGATCCCATGGTCCACAAAATAAAGGACAATCCTCCAAACTTAAGTCACAGGCTTACATGGGCATCTTTCTGAAGAAAGTCTCCGGTAAACTTCCCTACACAACTGTTAAGCATAGTGTACTCACCAGCATGGATGATTGCCCGATCTTCAGTTCTAGTCCTCTATGGGCGTGTGACTCCAGGCTCATGGAAATTCGTTGCATCCTAGTGAGGTAGCCACTTGTCAGGGAAAAAGAGCTGTGGGGTTTCTCTGTGGAAAATATTAATGGAAAAATATGATAGTAATCGAAAAATAAAATAAAAAGGTTAAATAAGCTAAAAAAATTGTAAAACATTAAACAAACCAAACTTTAAATAAAAACAGAGAGGACCGTATGTGACCCCTGTGTTCACAAGTAGATAAAACATATGTGCCTACACAGTAGGCTTCTTCAGTTAAATGCAGAGATATCATTGTTTACGACTATGGAGCTGAACACTTCTCCAGGCTGACTGACTACCTCAAAACTACGTCTTTAAGGCTGATATATACAGATCACATCATCGGTACCTCTCCACTTCTTTGTCTCCTTATTTAGTCACCTCTGTATTTAAGTGAAGAAACTTACTGTGTAGGCGAAACGTTTCGGAAGTAAAGATACCTACCCGTTACACAAGTGTCTTACTGATGAAGGATTCTCCTACTTGTTGCTGGGTTATTTCCTCGTCTCACAGATACTGCAGGACCAAAGTGTTGTAACCACGAACGAGTGGTATTTAATCAATAACAACACTGCACCTAGCCGAGGACTGGAACCCATGTCATTTTGGCCCGCCTCATGGTGAGCGAAAATCACATGACGCTCTAACCCACAGGACCACTCAATCCTACAGTAATATATATATAGACTGCTCGTGGAGGCTAGTACACCCAACGAGGAGCAGAATGAAATTAACTCTGAGGCACCCACACCACCGTATGTCCTCGGATCATGATAAAACACCTAGCTCTGCTAGGTGCAGGCACCCACACCACCGTATGTCCTCGGATCATGATAAAACACCTAGCTCTGCTAGGTGCATGATTCTTGTAGGATTGAGTGGTCCTGTGGGTTAGAGCGTCATGTGATTTTCGCACACCATGAGGCGGACCAAAACAACACGGGTTCGAGCCCTCGGCTAGTGGCAGTGTTGCTATTGATTAAATACCACACGTTCGTAGTTACAATACGATATATATACTGCGTATGTATTATATATATATATATATATATATATATATATATATATATATATATATATATATATATATATATATATATATATATATATATATATATATATATATATATATTATATGTATATGTATATGTATATGTATATGTATATATATATATATATATATATATATATATATATATATATATATATATATATATATATATTATATATATATATATATATATATATATATATATATATATATATATATATATATATTATTACCATAAAAACAATATCAGAAGATAATTAGCAACAAACTGTGGATCTCATTCATATTAATTCATGATAACTATGAAGGTCAGGTATTTACATCGCAATATGGCTCAACATAAGACGATGTTTCAACGTTAACTCACTCGTCTGGTTTCTCAGAACTGATGAACTAGGGTTTCCATCACAGATAAGTTGATTTTAAATCTTACTTGGTATATTCTCGGCGTTCATGAGAAATTAATTTAGCATTACAGTCTTTCACCCTCAAGTTAAGACTAGCGATGTCCAATGTATATATATATATATATATATATATATATATATATATATATATTATATATATAATATATATATATATATATATATATATATATATATATATATATATATATATATATATATATATATATATATATATATATATATATATATATATATATATATATTCTGAGTCTCTTTCTCTAATTAAGGCGAATATGAAGTGAAAATAATTTTGAGTTACTTTGTGGTTGTTTTATCAATTCATTAAAGTAGTATTATATATGGGAAAGCGCAAGATCAAGAAAAAATATTCCAAGGTCAGAGAGTAGACATGATTACAAAATACTTTAGACAACTGATGAGTAGCCGGAATGTTGAGACCAGATATCATTATCATGTACTCGTGTTGCCTCAAACTTACCACAAAAATTCTTAAGTAGATTTTTTCTTACTTTTTTCGTTTTTTTTTCCTCTCGGATTATGATTAGAACCTTTTGAGAGAGCGGTGGTCACAGGGTTAACTACACCGTCCCTCACTCAACCAGCTCACCACTGCCTTCCTCCAAGTATGTCTGCAGGGGAGGGGGACCTTACAGACTGTTATCTGAAGATGTTTTATCTTCGCAGCCAGTGTCTTATAAGGAGCTTCTGCTTGTTAATGAGTGGGAAAAGCGAGGATGGTAGTAATTAACCGGTGAGTTTATACTCGGGACTTGAGGTGGTTTCTGGATATAGGCAAGTGGGAGGCAAAAAGCCGTCGAAGTTTGATGACCACTCTCTCTCACACTAACTCCGGGGCGTAAGCAAGCTGGGAGTGAGTTACTAGTGGAGGTCGAAGCAACACTTATTCAGGAATATAGAGATCATAGCATCAGTGGTATACAATACTCACAGGCTAAAGAATTATACACACGAGCAATACCTGGGTATCTTTACTGTGTAAACGTTTCGCCAACAAGTGATTTTGTCAATACAGTACAGGCATAAAAACAAAAGATTGAGGAAGAGATAGAAGTTGAAGTAACAAATCCCTCAGCCTAGCCGCAGTTGATAGACTTACTATCAACTGTGTTCTTCAAACACAGGACAGACAGTACAATAAGCTCAAGGTATTTTATTAGATAAGACACAATACATATTAAAAAAATATCCTAAATCTGCTTGCAACTGTTAAAAGAAAAATTGTATATATAAATCCAGATGTTCTCCTGTTAACCCTTTTTGAGGTCTAGTTCCTGGGTCTTCTGTGTATCCATATGCTCTTACGCTACGGGCTGCACAATAAACTAATTAAGTCACATTGTTGGCAACGACTCAAGTATTATCTTTCTTTTTAATCTCCTTCTCTCTTTTTCTCTCTCTGAGACTCTATCAGGGTTTCTTTGGGCTGGATTATTATTATTATTATTATTATTATTATTATTATTATTAATATTATTATTATTACACACCAGGACTGATTCAAACTGAAGGTAGCTCCAATTCCTTGGATCAGGAGCCCTCCCAGCCTCAAGATCCTCCCTTCGAAGGGTTTTGGGCAGTGACCTGGCATTCTGGGGCCCTTAAAGAATACTTTAAGGATGCTTTCGGGGGGCAACGCCTCCGCAGCCCGATCCCAGACCAGTTTTCCTGGTGGATCAAGGCCTGCTCAACCAGGCTGTTACTGCCGGCCACAATGACGGCACTCCCTGGTAGAGGCAGTGACCGGCACTCCCTGGTAGAGGCAGTGACTGGTACTACTCTTGGGCAGTCAGGAATGGATATTTTTAATCAGCAAAATAAGGAACGTCAGCAGTGTGCTGCTACCCTAGTCTAAATGACTGTTACAAGAGAGGAAGTGACGCCAGGGGGATGGGGCAGTGACGCTGTTGCGATGGCAGTGACATCGGTGACATGGCGGTGACGCTACGGCAAGGAAGTGACGGTGAAGTGGCAGTGAGGAAATGGCAGTGAGGAAGTGACAGTGAGGAGGTGGCGGTGAGGAAGTGACGGTGAGGAAATAACAGTGAAGAAATGATAGTGTAACCATTAACTCTCCTCCTGACTTCAAGTTTTTGTGTGGGGGAATTTTTTTTTCAAATGCTGGAATGCACAAGTTGAGAGAAAGAGAGAGAGAGAGAGAGAGAGAGAGAGAGAGAGAGAGAGAGAGAGAGAGAGAGAGAGAGAGAGAGAGAGAGGAGAGAGAGGAGAGAGAAGAGAGAGAGACAGAGAGAGAGACAGAGAGAGAGAGCAGAGAGAGAGAGAGAGAGAGAGAGAGAGAGAGAGAGAGAGAGAGAGAGAGAGAGAGAGAGAGAGAGAGAGAGAGAGAGAGAGAGAGAGAGAGAGAGAGAGAGAGAGAGAGAGAGAGAGAGAGAGAGTAAGCTGAATGAGAACTTGTTTTTCTAGATTTAGAGTGACACGCAAATGTTTCTCTCACATTCCGAGGAAGCAGACGAAGCCAGGGGCACGAGAATCGCTTATCGGATGCTCTGGAAGATGATGTGAGGTACAGCTGGCGTCGACAGGTCGCGCTAAACCAGGCGTCGACAGGTCGTGCTCAACCAGGCATCGACAGGTCGTGAGGAAGTACTCAGAGAAGCTCATCGCTCAAGAGTACAGGATCAAGTCGAGCTTCCACATTAAGGCCTCTGTCATTCTGGTGATTCACTTGGTGTGGTGTTGACAAGCGCGGCATGACAGTGTAGGATTCAGCAGGTGTAGAATGATAACCTGGTCAGGAGAAAAGTGTGGTTTGACTTCCTAGAATAGACTGTTCTAGGGTAATGGCATAATGTTGGCCGGTTAACGCGGTAGCTTGAATCAGACGGGTTCAGACTGATAGCCTTGTGTCAAAAGGTGTGATGAGTGCTTAGTGCTGACAGTTAGAGCGCGACAGCTTTGTACTCGCCTAGTTTTGTTTGAGAGGGTTCAACTCTGGCTCCTGAACCTCGTCAATGCACTTTGATTAATTAGAATGATTTACACCCTGCACTTATGAGTTGTCATATTTACTTCTGAGTCCATGTACTGAGTTGGCCTCCACTACAGCTTTTCCTAATGTATTCACTTTATTCACTGCCCTCACACTGAAGGATTTTTATAAAGTGCCTTGCACTTTTTTAAATTTCTAATTTCCAGTTTTGTCCTCTGTACTCTCAATTTTGTCTTTGTCTCTGAATATTTCATAAGTTGTGATTGTCTCCTATGGTTCTTTAGTTTTCTGGAGACATAAGATGTAGATCTCTTAACATGTACATATATTTTTATCCAGTTCTAGTAGCTCTGGGATTAATTTTCGTGGCAATTCTCTGATTTTATCAGAGTATAAGTTTGATGAGATGAGTCTTCTATCATTGTGTTAATTAGGTACAAAAACAGAGAAGTAGAAACACCTGCTACACTTGAGTGTCTACTTCTTTTTTAACAAAGTGTTTTAGAATTGCGTGTAAAAAAAGTCTCTCCTCCACCCAGGCTTCTGGTAGGTGTTCCCTTGTGATCATGAGCACATCTTGGAATCTCTTAATGAGTGTGCTC